TGGGGGGGGGGATGCAGGAATGAAGCAGTGCCCTGTCCCCGCAGCCCTGACGTGGCTCATCATCCTGATGTCTGTGACAGTGACCACCATCACTGGCTTGTCCATCTCTGCCATATCCACTAATGGCAAAGTGAAGTCAGGTAGCGTGTCGTCCCCCCGACAGCACAGCCTCCAGCCACCCCGGGGGAGGGGGGGGGTCTCCTCCACCTTGGGGCTGCCCCGTGGACATGAACTCCCAGCACAGGCTGTGAGGTGCAGGGGGGGCCCCCGAAAACGTGCAGCTAATGCCACGGGGTGCACCTGCCGCCTCAGGGGGCACGTACTTCCTCATCTCGCGGAGTCTCGGGCCAGAGCTGGGCGGCTCCATCGGGCTGATCTTTGCCTTCGCAAACGCAGTGGCTGTGGCCATGCACACAGTGGGCTTCGCCGAAACTGTCCGGGACCTGCTGCAGGCAAGAAAGTGTCTCTGTGTGTCTTCTGGGTCCCATTGCCTCCACCTCCTCCATCCCCACCTCCTCCCTGCACAAGCTGCATTAATTGTCAACATCTGTGTTAATGTTGGGCCACTGATAATCAACCACCGGCTGCTAAAACTCATGGCAATCCCAGTGGTTTGGTAAGGGAAAGGGTTATTTCTGTGATGTGGATGGTTTCCCCTTCCCAGGAGCACAACTCCCTCATTGTGGACCCCACCAATGACATCCGCATCATCGGGGTTGTCACCGTGACGGTGCTGCTGGGTATCTCCCTGGCTGGCATGGAGTGGGAGGCCAAGGTAACGCTCGCTTTTTCTGCTCACTTTATTCCCTCGGGCTGATAAGAGCCGTCCCTGCTGCCCACCGGGCACCCGAGGAGCAGAGGATGCCCATAGCTCTCCAAAAACAGGCGAGGGTTTCTCCTAATGAGTTTTTCACCTTCTCGGTGCCCAAACCCCAACCCCTCAGCTGGCTCTTTCTGGTCTGGCAGGCACAGATACTGTTTTTCCTGGTCATCTTGGTTTCCTTCATAAATTACCTGGTGGGGACAGTGATCCCTGCCACCACTGAGAAGCAAGCGAAGGGCTTCTTCAGCTACCGAGGTGGGTCCACCACGTGTGGGGTTACGCTCAACAGCTCCAAGCGCATCGCTGGAGCCCGGCTCTTTGCTGCTGTTGGGGGAGAAGTTTGCTTTGGGAAGGTGCTCCTTGCTGAGAGATGTCATTAAAAGCACGGTGTCTTCCTCCCGTGGGTTACCTGCCATCAGTGGTGTGCCTCCATCCAGCGCTGAGATGCTTCAGCCAGGAGAAAGGCCATTGGGAGGCCCCAAATGCTTCTCCTCTGCTTCCTCCCCAGCTGACATCTTTGCCCAGAACTTTGTACCCAACTGGCGTGGACCCGAGGGCTCCTTCTTTGGCTTGTTTTCCATTTTCTTCCCGTCAGCAACTGGCATCCTGGCTGGGGCTAACATTTCGGGTGACCTGAAGGTGGGTTTTGACGGTTGCTGCCTGAGCCAGCATTTCTCAGGGCTCAAGCCCTGTTTCCCCTGGGGCTTTGGTTTTGATCCAACTTTTAGACCCTATTTTATTTCTTCTGGAAACTTTGGGGAAGGCTCAGCCAGGAGATGCTATGTATTTTTGTATCATAATGAATTAAAATTCCTCTTGTATAGCAGCCACAATTAAAATGCTACTTTAGTGGGGCTGCTGGAAAGCTGTCTTACATCTCTCTGCAACTCCCTTGGGCAGGATCCTGCTGTGGCAATCCCCAAGGGCACCTTGATGGCCATCTTCTGGACCACTATGTCTTACCTGGTGCTTTCTGCTACAATCGGTAAGTGGCACGTCCTTGGGGGTGAGCTGGGTGGAACACTCAATCCCCCCCACCCCCCACCCCTAAAATGGGTGGCCTGGGAGGATGCAGGTGGTGGGAGCCAGGAGCAAGCCGTGGACTCCGGCACTGATACCCCGGGGCGAGTGCTGCAGGTGCCAGACCTCATTCCTGCCCCTATGCGGGGCAGAGTTCTCCTGGGTGGGCAAAGCAGCTCATGGCCTTGCTCACAGCCATCGTGCAGTGGGGCAGCCCCATGGCAGGGACTTGGGGGATGTTGCAGGCAATGGGGACGTGGGGCTGAGTCGCGTCAAACCACAGAGAGATGCTGGCCTGGCTCCAGCCCTGCCGGAGGGCTGCTGGGACCGCATGCGTGCAGGAGGTGAGCGGGCACTGCATGCCCCCCCAGGTGCCTGCGTGGTCCGGGATGCCTCGGGCAGCCTGAACGACAGCATGGCGGCGGGCTCACCGGGCTGCGAGGGACTGGCCCGCCGCTT